AGAGAGAGAGAGAGAGAGAGTCAGAGGGACAGAGATAGAGACAGAAACAGATAGAGGGAGAGATCAAAGTGGTGGAGGATCAACGCCCGAGGAGCCGACAGTATTAAAGCGACAGACACGGTGCACAATATAAACGTCCCCGGCGCACACACCGACTGCACAATGAAACTGACAACAGTGCACTTTGCCCATAAACATAGATTATTGTTCCGTGGTGTGGTCAGCCCATAGGATGCAGTGCACTGTCATAAAAGTGAATCATTGGCTCACCTTTTTTGCTCTTATTCTCCTTAACTTGAACCTGCTGCGTGTGTGGTGAAGCGGTCAGGCGCTTGGTTGTTGCATGCAGAAGACATGAGTTCAATTCTAGTGTGGGGATTTATTTTATTCTATTATTTAATTCAGTCTTTCTGGTAGAGCTTTCTCAAATCTCAACATTGGTGGACCCTCGCCCTGACAGACAGCGTTGAAGTCCCCCTCTTAAATATTGTGTCGACGTGGGCCCAAAAACGCCTACTACAAAAATGAAACAACAGACCTGCTACTGTGGAGGAAAGGTTAAGGTAGATCTAGGACTTGTCCCTTGTGATGTAAATAACTGGAGTTTCATTTCCTAGCTTGCGAAGAACTGTTATACTTTCCAGAGAGAGGAAATCGGCCCGGTCCTGGGGGAGATCGTCCTCAGAGATTGACGTTAGTTGTGAAGAAGCTCGCGTTACATTCCGTTTGGTTATTTTCTCGCAAACACACACAGAGACACACATTTGCGTGCAACCACGCACGTACGCACGTACGCACACACGCGCACGCACACACACACACACACACACACACACACACACACACACACACACACACACACACACACACACACACGTTCAAGCATGGGTATACAGTTTGCATGTAGATGTAACTTTGTGCTTTAATTAAAAGAAAAAAAATTAAAGAACATGTTGTTTGGACCAAACGCTCGTACAACCAGCTAAAAAGCAAAGAAAGGAGGAAAAGAAACGGACAGACTCTAACGGTAAAAAAAGGAATAGAAACGCCAAACGGACACGAGAAAGAACAACGAAAATTGGATAAGGGACTGAAACCTGCACCTCCCCTCGACATCCTAAGGATACCAGAGGAAGGAAAACGTAAAAGTAACAGTAAGAAACTCGTATAACATTGGCTAACAGAAAAAAAAGACTTATGTGAGTCCACCATGATCTCAACAAAGCAAGAATCCTTTCCCCTACTTTATCACGAAACTATTTTAAGTTTCGACGTAGCTTTGTTATATGCTTATTAGCAACAACTGAAACATTATTAGCTAGATCTCGATTTGCCCTTCTTGAGTAACATAATTATTTTAAAGAATGGTTGCACAACCAGACCAGTTTCATCGTAATCAATGCGATACAGGGGTGGGGGTAATTGTAAAAAAATATATTATTATATTGGTGCACTGAAGACAGTCGTGTACTCGACACATGTTTTTCCTTTCGAAATTAGTAATAAAACAGCCTTACTTTTTTCTTTTAAAATATAATTTTAACTTATCTAGACCGACCTCCAAATCTTTTCCTACTTTCTCCGTCTCATTTCCTTTTTTGTG